GGAATGGCCATACCACAATCCCTTCTCCTCCACTCTCCTCTCAGGACCTTAGGCATGCATGTACATGCGCCTGGCATGAGTTTAAACCACCAAGTCTGGGACTCAAACCACGGTCAACTACATGGGAGTCCAGTGACAAAGCCATTACGCTAACTGCTGGTCCCTAAAAGTAAAATAAATTGTACCAATTCTCTTCCGCCCTCTGCCTAAATGTCTAGTCTTGGGGGAACTCCCTTAAGTACCTTCTCCCTAATGTAATGCATATTTCTTTTAAAAACAAATACGACCCTTTACTTCTTTTGATTTGTCACATTTTGGAATCATATACTTGTGACTTGATAATCTAACAGTCCCTGTTGGTTTTCAAAAGGCAAGGACTGTAACTGTTTTGTTCGGGGCTATATTACCAGTGCCTGGCGCTAGAAAAGTGCTCAAGAAACATGTTAAATTAGTGACTTAAAGAAGGTATTATCGGGCCAGCAGGTGGTATGTAGATTAAGGTGCTGGACTCCCACATTGACCATGGTTTGAATTCCAGACCCAGTGGCCTGAAAATCACACCGGGTGTCTGTGTGTACGTGCCCAAAATCCTGAGAGAAGATTGGAGAAGGGATTGCAGCCTGGTCATTCCCCCCGCCGGGGGATGATTTCTCACTTTCACTCTCTGTCTCTCTCTAGTGAGCGCAGGGGCCCTATAAAAGAAAGTGCTATCCTGTTTTACTAAGGGAGTCCACAGTAGCCTCAACCTACAGTGACCAGAGCAATAAAAAAGGAATTTTGAGGATAAATGGGTTGTAGTATGGCATACAACTGAGTGAAAAAAAAAAAAAAGATGTTGCCAGTCTTATAAATTATGTTTCTCAAATATGGTGTTCTTTGTTGAAAACAACAAATAAGGACTATCCTTGATCTGATAACTGCACACTATATGCATGCTTTGAAAACCCATATTGTGGCCCATAAATTGTGCAAAAAGTAAATGAAAATAAGAAGTTATAAAATGAAATAAAATAGAAAAACAAAAACGTAACTTTTCAAAGAAGTGGAAGTCTTTGACACTGATCTCAAAGAAGAGTGTTATGAGAGGAATAACTACTGTGTATAGCGGGGGTGAAACTAGGCTTCTAGAAACTAATTTATACCTAGCACTGACATACAGTACATACATGTGCCAAATGTTAAACTCTACATACATTAACTCATTGCATCCTTCCAACAACTCCATGAAAAAGGTATAACTATCCTTGTTTCATACACGGGATTGATGTATAGAGACACTAAAAAACTTGTGCAAACCCCAAGATTACACAAATACTAAGCGGTAGAAGGCAGATTCCAAATCCATGCATTTTATAGATTTCCAATGCCTGCTGTATTAGTTTCCTACCTGCCACAAATTACCACAAGCACAGTGGCTTAAAACAACAGAAATTTACTCTCTCCCAGTTCTGGAGGCTATAAGTCTGAAATTAAGTGTCAGCAAGGCCATACCCCCTCTAAAAGCTCCAGGGGAGGATCTCTCTTTTGCCTCTTCCAGCTCTGGTGGCTCTTGGCATTCATTCCTTGGCTTACAGCAGCCTCACTAAGGTCTGCCCCGGTTTCACATGGCCTTCCCTTCTCATCTGTCTCTTATAAGAACATGGTCTTTGGATATTGGGCCCACCTTAAATCCAAGAAGATCTCAATCCTTAACCCCGGTTTCACATGGCCTTCCCTTCTCGTCTGTCTCTTATAAGAACATGGTCTTTGGATATTGGGCCCACCTTAAATCCAAGAAGATCTCAATCCTTAACATACTTATATTTTCAAAGACTATTTCCCAAAAGTCATGTTTACAGGTAGTAGTAGAGATTAGGACTTAGACATATCTTTTTATGTTTTTTTAGCAAAAGATGGGTTTTCGCTTCTTTTTTTTTTTTTTTTACCTTTTTTTTTTTTTTGGAGAGATTTTTGCTATAGGGTGCATGCGCTCACCAGAAGGACAAAGAGAGAGTGATAGGAAGTGAGAAACCATCCCCCAGGGGGATGGCCATACCACAATCCCTTCTCCATTCTCCTCTCAGGATCTTGGGTACACACGCCCGGCATGAGTTTAAGCCACTGGGTCCGGGACTCAAACTGCGGTCGACTACATGGGAATCCAGCAACATAGCCATTACGCTAACTGCTGGTCCCAAAGATAGGTTTTTGCTTTAAACAGATACGTTATTATACATATTTAGGGAGTACGATATGATATTTTGATATATATATATGTGTGTATTAAGTAATGATCAAGCCATGGTAATTAGTTTAGCACATCTGTCACCTTAAACATTTATCGTTTCTACATAAATTAGATTATTTAGCATTTTTGGTTGTGAGGACATTCAAAATCTCCTCTTCTAGCCATCTGCTGTATATACTGCATTGCTGTTAAGTATAATCTCCCTAGTACGCGCTAGAGGACCAGGATTTATTCCTATCTAAATGTGGCATTGTGGGCCAGCCAGTGGTATGGAGATAAAAGCAACTGGATCCCACATAGTCAACTGCACAGTTTAAGTCCTGGACCTGGCAGCTTGAAAAACATGTTGACCACGTATGCATGCCTGCCCAAAATCTTGAGAGGACAATGGGATTGCAGTGTGGCCATCCTCCCTGGGGGGAATGCTTTCTCACTTTTTCTTTCCCTGTCTCTCTCTGGTGAATGCATCCACCCTATAGCAAATAGCAAATTAAATGTAGTACTGTGCCCACCACCACCACCTTGTCTCTGGTAGCCCAGAAGTTAAAGAAGTCAGCCCCTAAGTGGCCAACTGGAGTTTGAATCCAGGCCAACTGGAGTTTGAAAATCACATTATGTACTTGTGTGTGCATGCCCCAAATTCCTACAAGATAGAAAAATGGAGGAGAAGGCACTGTGGTGTGTGACCACACTTCCCCGGGAGGTGCTCCCTCCAGAACTCTGCCCATCCTCCCACCTCTGGTCTCCAGAGTTTCTGGTAACTTTATTCTACTCTCAATTCTACTTTGTGACATCAGTTTTCTTCATCTCCCCCACCCCTGCCCCAGCTTAGAGTAGACATATGAGTGAGGTCTTGTGGTATTTGCCTTCTGTGTGCGGTTTATTTCACTTAGCATGTCCCCCAAGTTCGTCCATGTTGTCACAAATTACAAACAGATGTGTTATCCAAAAAGTAGTATCTATCTCCTCAAAATCATTACAATTGGGCCAGCAGGTGGTGCGATGGTTAAGGTGCTGGATTCCCACATGGACAACTACAGTTTGAGTTCCAGATATGGCCAACTACAGTTCAAGTCCTAGGCATGGCAGCTTGAAAATCACGCCAGGCACAAGTGAGTATGTGCCCAAAATCCCTAGAGGAAAGTAGAGGAGAAGGGAATACAATATGGCCATCTCCCTACCTCCAGGGATGATTTCTTTCCCCCTCTCTCTCTGGCGAGTACATGCACCCTAAAAGAAAAAACAAAAAAAAAAAAAAAAAAATGCAAAAAACTAATTGATTTGCTCAGGCTCATTATCAACTTGAACTGCTTACATTTCTGAAGGCAATAAAAAGCCACCTTTCCCAGATTCTCTACAAAAACAACAAAATGATCAAATCTCCCCAACAAGGGTACTGAGTCTAATTGCTTATGGTCAGCTGTAAACCCACTGGTCTGGGTGTAATAGCATCAGTGTTCAGAGCAGCCACAACCCTGTCCTGAAGGGTTCCAAGGTCATAGTCATACCATCATACAATACTGCTACCATTTCCAAATGGCACACAAACCATGAAGGAAAGGAAATACAGGATATCCAGTCATGCCTCTAAGTTACCTACACCTGTTATCTTCCGGGGCATTTAATATTTACTTTCAAGTGTATTATCCAGAAGTTCACTGTTTATTTTTATTGTTTTATCTTTTTCTATTTCTAAGGTAGTTTTGTTTGTTTGTTTGTTTGTTTGTTTGAATTCTTTCAGTTCTGGGATTACATTCCACCCTCAGTTTGTATAAGAATTTTCCTGGGAACCAGCAGTTAGCGTAATGGCTATGTCGCTGGACTCCCACGTAGTCAACCACGGTTCACGTCCCAGACCCGGTGGCTTAAAACTCACGCCGGGCACGTGTGCATGCATGCCCAAGATCCCGAGAGGAAAATGGAGGAGAAGGGATTGTGGGGTGACCATCCCCCCTGGGGGGTGATTTCTCGCTTTCTGTCTCTATGTCTCTCTCTGTCTGTCTGGCGAGCGCACGCGCCCTATAGCGAAAATCTCTCAAAAAAAAAAAAATTTTTTTCCTCATCTCTGAATAAAACAAAACTCAAAATTCAAATACTAATACATGGTCATCTGTCATGTGAGTTACTACCAAAGTTGAACAAATCCAAACTGCAAGGTCATCTCCAACATCTAATGGCGCCAATAACTAGTATTTATTCACAAAGTGCTACTATACAATATTATTTTAAAGTATGTTCACATATATTCTCTCATTCTGGCTTGACAATCTAATGATTCAGCTGTCATCATTCACATTTTACAGATGAGAAAACCAGATGAGATAAAGTGACTAGCCCCTTGTAAGACAGCATGTAAGTAGCAGCTGAGACTCAAGCCAAGCACGCTACCTCTAAGCTCACAGCTGTTCTTGTTCTAAGACAACTGGGCCTTTCAATAACATAGGAAGCTATGTGCCCCAAACCAACTGCTTTATCAGCACAATCAGTAAAGTCACTATCTCAGAAAACTGATATGGAACCAATGCAAGGTCCTCCAACCAAATTTTGGAAACACTCAAGACCCTCCTCAGTATCTAGTGGGAGTTTTTCTTTGTTGTACATCTGGATGTTGGGAGACTGTTTTTATATAGCCATAGACAGAGATGTGAAATTAACAATGAATTAGGTTTACATTACAACTCCATTGGGTATACTTCTCTGTAAAAAGCTGTCACGTATTTGAATACATATTCATTTTTTAAACCAAAATTTAAATGTAAAGAAAAGGCCTTACCTGTTCACCAGCATCTCTAAATTCTTTGCATGCATCAGGGAACACGTCATAAATAATCAGCGGATAGCCATGTTTCATGAGATTTTTTGCCATTGGATTCCCCATGTTGCCTAGTCCAATGAATCCAACTGGAGTCTTAGAAGCCATTGACCTAGAACACACTGATATCAATACATTACTTTCAGCAGGGGCAAACAACATTTTTTGTCGTAAATACTCATTCAAATTAGTAAGTCAATTGCTATTTAGGTGTTTTCTATAAAAGAAACTTTTAAAAGGCTAGTTTGTGGCCTAGTGTGGTTAAGGGAGATAGGACCAACTACACAGTTCAAATCCCAGCCCTAGCAACTTGAAAAACACACCGTGTGCTTGTGTCCTCAAAATCCCAACAGAACAGAGAAATGAAAAAAGGGACTGTTGTATGACCACACCCCTTTGAGAGGTGCTTCTCCCTCCCTCTGCTCTGCCCCCTCCTTCCACTCTGTGAATGTGCCCTCTGGCAATTAAAAATAAAGGTGGGAGGCAGCCCATGGCCTGGTGGTTAAGGCAGCTGGATTCCATATGGCAGACCGTTGTTGGACGCCCAGATAAAGCAGCTTGAAAAACACACGGGTCACATGCACATGCACGCCCAAAACAGGGGGTGCTTTCTCGCTTTCTCTAGCTCTCTGGCAAGCACATAAGACCTTCAGCAAAAATCAAAAATAAATAAATAAATCAAATAAAATCAAATAAATCAAATAAAAACCTAATCACATTTAAAAGATAGAAACACTGGGCCAGTCTCATGGTCTTGTAGTTAAGGGAGATGGATTCCACACGGTCAACCACACAGTTCAAGTCTTGGACCCAGCACCCTGAAAAAAAAGTGGGCACATGTGGTGCCTAACATCCCAGTGGAAGGAAGAAAAGGGACTGCAGTGTGGCCATGACCCATAGGGAGGTGCTTGCCCCCTCTCCAGTGAGTATATGCACCCTCTGGCTTATAAAATAAATAAATACATACATAGATAAATAGTAAAATCTCAACAATGTACAAACCAACTCCTAATTATTTAGTTCTCAGGAAATGTTCAGGGAATTTCAGTAACTAATCCTATTTTCTTCCTCTAAAACACTCCTTTACCGTTTTCAACCACAAACTAAATAACATTATCATTTATAAAACATCTATTATGTGCTTACCTATTATGAGACAGAGTTGAGATTCCTCATATCTATATTACCTCCTTTACTACTGTGCATGAAAGACTGAAAAGATCAAAACAGGACCTATGACTTGGTCAGTCGAGCACAGTGGGGTGTGCCTGTAATCCCACTTACTTGGGTGGCTAAGACAGAAGGATCATAAGTTCGAGGTCAGCCTAGACGACACAGTGAGATTTGATCGTCTAAAAAAAAAAACAAAAAAAACTCGAGGGCCAGCAGGTGGCACGGCAGATAAGGCTCTGGGTCCCACATGGCCCACTCTGTGGTTCACGTGCCATACCCAGAGGCTTGAAAAACACACTGGATGCCTGTGCGTCTATAAAATTCTGAGAGAAAGGGATTACAGCGTGGCCATCCCTCGTAGGGGTGGGGGTGATTTCCCACTTTCTCTGTCTCTCTCTGGCAAGTGCAGGCACCCTATGACAAAAATCTCAAGAGAAAGGAAAACAAATAACAAAAAACCTGTATCTTAGACCTGGTCCAAAAATAGAAAAGGTTTTTACCTTCTCACTCCTACAATTATAGAAACCATCCCCTCCAGCTATATAAAAAACAAACCTAAAAAGGGTTAAACCAAGAAGAATATATTTCAGCCAAAAGTTACTGGTTTATTAATGTGGTCCTGAGGAAGGGAAAGTAGATGTTTCCAGAAGTTTTAAAGACAAGGCTAATGGTATCAAGACCTTAGTCTAACAACTCTGCACTTTCAGAAAAGGACGATTTCCTTTTCTTCAGTTTGCTACAGGGTGCATGCACTTGCCGGAGACAGAGAGAGAAAGTGAAAAATCACCCCCAGCGGGGGATGGCCATGCCAGTCCTTTCTCCTCTAGTCTCTTCTCGGGATTTTGGGCATGACACACACACAAACGTGACATGAATTTTCAAGCCACTAGGCCCAAGACTCAAACGGCAGAGTCGGTCATGTGGGATCCAGTAACCCCAATCTCCAGATTTCTATTTTTTTTTAAATTGTCCTTAAAAGCTGTACACAGGCCCAGCTGCAATGGCACAAGTCAAAGGTGCTAACACTCAATGGTTAAAGCAGCTGGGGTGGGGGGGGTTCAGTTTGGTTCCTGGACCAAGCTAAGTAGGCCAATGCCATGCAGTTGTGGTCCTAGCTAACTAGGAGAGTGGGTCAATGTGGCAAGGCACTGTCAAAATACCTCTGTTCTCCCATGCTCTCACATACATACTCTCATGTAAAACAAAAACAGAAACTACATAGAAAGATTCTGCTTTTGCATGAAAGGCTTTCTGAAATCAGTGGGAACACACGACTCAAAGTAATGCTTTAGAGAGTGGAGTGTCTTTGCATTACCATGGAAATAACATAAGAAGCACTCTAGGTTCTAGATTTAGGACTCCACTCAACAAGTACCCACCGCATGAAGCTGTGTAAGAGAGCTCAGAGACAGACACAGCAGGGTGTGATCCCTGCCCTCGACAGGCTCCCAGTCCAGGAGGGGAAGCACAGGAAGGAACGTCACTTGCTCTTTCATTTCCCAACTTTATTTTTCCTTTTTCTTTCAAGGAGCCCAGTTTTAAAAACTGTGTAGTATAACAGCTAACACTTCTGTTTCAGGTCTTCTCAACTGACTGATCCCTGCTCTTCCTTGAACTTAATCTGAATGTAATAAGATTTCCTAAAAGCAAATTATTTGAAGCTTTAATCTTGGGAAACAGAAACTAGGAAGATTATAACTTAAAGATAGTTAACAGGTCAAACAGTAAGTACAGCAGAGTTGAAACACAATACATTCACATATTGAACAAATATTAAGCAACTATCTTATGGACCATGTTAGATGCCATGGCAGACACAGACATATAGTCCTTGCCTTCAACGAGCCGAAAATCTAACAAATTGCATACACAAACACGAACACAAGGCAGTTAAAGATAAAGTATTAAAAACAATATTGATACAAAAGGATAATTCATAGTCTGGGCACTTGAGGAAGATAGCATGTAACCTGGGTATTCTACAGTGGACAGGATTTCAAATGCATAATAGGGTAGGAAGGAAGGGAACTCCACATTTAAAAAATAATAATAAAAATGCAATGAACTAGAAAAGACAAGAGATAGTAATAGTAAGTTAATACTTATTGCAGCTTTATTACATGCCAGATATTGTACTAATAGTGCTGCCTTCATGTATTATTAAACCAATCTTTCAGCTTACATCACTAATACATAGTGAGGTGAAGTAAAAACGTCCAAGACTTTACTCAATTGAAATGCCAAGATTCAAATTCAGCTAATCTGACTAGACTGTTCACTTGTAACCACTGTAAAATACTGCCTTCCAGTATCCCCAGAGGATGCACAAAGAAACAAAACAGCAGGAGATAAGACTGGAAAAAACATTACAACCACAATGTAAAAGGCTGGGAAGCATACTAAACAATCTGATTGTATTTTGTAGGCAAGAGGAAGTTACTGAAGGGTTGGGCAAGAGACATAACATGATCAGGCTTAAACTAATGAAAAATGCAATTTTTAAAAATAATTATTTAATTTTATTTCTTTTTTTTTTTTAATTTGCTGTAGAGCACACATGCTCACCAGAGAGACAGAGACAAATAGAGAGAAAGTGAGAATGCAAGTCACCAGGTCAGGGACTTGAATTGCAGCCAGCCATGTGGGAGTCCAGTGCCCCAACCACCACACCACCTGCTGGCCCCAAGAAATACAATTGTTGGGACCAGCAGTTAGCTATGGCTATGTCGCTGGACTCCCATGTAGTGGACCGTGGTTTGCGTTCTGGACCCAGTGGCTTAAACCTCACGCCAGGCGCGTGTACGTGCATGCCCAAGATCCCAAGAGGAGAATGGAGAAGGGATTGCAGCGTGGCCATCCCCCATGGGGGGGGGGTGATTTCTCGCTTTCTGTCTCTCTCTCTCTCTCTCTCTCTGTCTGGCAAGCGCACACGCTCTATTGTAAAAAGAACCTCTCCAAAAATAAAAAAAAAAAGAAAAGAAAGGAAGAAATGCAATTGTTAAATAGGCACAAATCACAAAATTAAAAATATTAAAAATTAGTAGTAAATGACCTCCCAAAAAAATCTGAAGACAGACTCAATTTGTCATAATTAGAGAAATGCAGCTAAAGTAATGTGATGTGTTTATCAGATGTACAATTTTTTTCTTTGATAGAAACCACAGGCACGAGACCAGCAGATGGCATAATGGTTACAGTGCTGGACTCCCACATAGTCAAACTGTGGATCAAGTCCTGGACCTGGCAGCTTAAAACTCATGTCAGGCACGCCTGCATGCTCAAAATCCCAAGAGGAGAATGGATGAGAAGGGACTGCAATGAGGCCACCCCCTCGGGAGGTGATTTCTCACTTTCTGTCTCTCCATCGAGTCCACGCGCCTATAGCAAAAATCTCTCTTAAAAAAAAAAGAAAAAAAGAAACCATAGGTATGAAAGAACTGATGTAGCAAAAATCTCTCTTAAAAAAAAAAGAAACCATAGGTGTGAAAGAACTGATGAAAAACATGTATTCTCATAGATTGTAAAATTATATATTTGGTCAATGTTTTAGATGGCAATTTGAAAAAAAAATCTACATTTGGGTTTAAATTTTAAATTTAAAACAGAGATACTCTTTGACCCAGCAATTCCATTTCTAGGAACTGATACTATCCATGAGTGTTTGGCAAGCTTTGCCTTGAAGAGGCAGATAGTAAATTATTTTCAACTTTGTGAGCTATTAGGTCTCCATCACAATTCCACTCATCCATTGCTTAGTTTGAAGGCAGCCACGACAATATTTAAACACATGGGTGTAGTTACGTTCTGATATAATTTTATTTACAAAAGCAGGTGTCCAACTACAGGCCATCGTTTGCCAGTCCCCAGTATAAGCTCTGAACAAAACAAAGATATTTTTTATAACAGGAGAAAAAAACTGCAAATAACTAAATACATATTATAATGGGCACTTAATTTGTAATAACTATATATTAATAGTGTACTTAATATTTCATAGGAAAGCAACACAATGAAATATCATCCAGAT